TTAGGGTTGAGGGTTAAAGGCTTAGGTTACTATGGTTTCGGGATTATGGTTTAGGGGGGCTTCGGGTTTAGGGGTGGCGTCGAGGCCATCTGACGATCTTACGAAACCCAACCCGATCCCAGGGAGTCCTACACCCCAGACCCAGACTCCTGAACCCCCAAACCCTAAAACACCTTCACCCCCAAACCCCAAAACACCTTAACCCCCAACCCCAAAACACCTTAACCCCAAAACCCAAAACACCTTAACCCCCAAACCTACAAACTCTAAAACCTCAGACGAGCTGCAATGCTGCAGGAGAGGTAGCTCACAAGGGATGGGTCGAGGCTCTCTTTCTGCATCTCTTCCTCAGGGCATCGGTTTCTGTTTTCGGGCTCTAGGGACTAGGCATGTAGGGTTCAGGGTTTCGGGGCTTTAGGGGCTTGAGGGGCTTGAGGGTTTAGGGTTGAGGGGAGTTTGGGGTTTAGGGGCTTTAGGGGCTTGAGGGTTTAGGGTTGAGGGGAGTTTGGGCTTTGGGGTTGAGGGTTTAGGGTTACGGGCAGAAAATGGAGCACCGAACGCACGTTCACTACGGATATTCCCAAGACGCCAAAACGTCACTCACCCAAAACCGGATTTCGCCGACTCTACATTGCAAGGATGCCCTGAAGTGCCTTGAAGTAAGGCGAAGTAAGGCACATCCTCACCCCCAAGAGCTTGCAAAATCTCAAATATCTCAGCATCAGGCAAGGAGGAGCTGCGTCCAGCGGAACATATGCTGCGTAGTGTTAGAACGACTCAGAACCTCGGTGGATGCTTACTGTACATAGGTCTGTTAGACTGAAGAAGTCTGCTTGTCTACATCACCCCTCTAAAGCGTCTTACTGTCCTTATTATCCTTGCTTGCTATGATAAGCCATACAAAAACTCAAGTGGGGTTTAGGGTTCCATGCGCTATTGTATTGCTGTTATTGGATCCTCGGCCCAGACAGGGAAGGCCGGCATCTAACTGACTGACTACCCGCACACTTTGGAGGGGGGTCTCTGCTAAAGTCTGTGCCCCCATCCCGCCTAAACCCTAAACCCTAAACCAGAAAGCTTCGGGATATCGAAAATGGACCCGAGCCGAAGTCAGCTGAAGCCAGGGACGTTGAAGAGAAAGCTGCAGGGACCCCACACCCTAAGCCCTAGCAGCCAAGCCTTCTGAAGCCATTGATATGCCTACCATCTCTGTCATCGCCACTCGTGGGCCGAAGCATTTAACCTCAACTTCAGACTGGAGGTCTCCTACCCAACCCTAAATCCCAAGCCCAAGTTGGTAAGGATTTAGGGTTTAGGGTTCAGGGTTTTTTGCAGGGTTTACGGTGTAGGATTGTAGGCGTTAGTGTAGGGTTCGGGCTTTAGGGCCCAAGCCCTTAAGCTTACGTGAATGAAGGCCTCGTTTACTCTTCTTCTGGCGTTCTCTAGAGCAGTTGCAATATGACGGACCACCATGCCCCTAAACTTAAACCCTAACCCCTAAACCCTAAACCCTAGGCCCTAAACCCGAAACCCTCAACCCTAGGCCCTAGACCCCAAACCCTAAACCCCAAACCCTAAACCCCAAACCCTAAACCCCAAACCCCAAACC